TTTCTAGATTACGAAATAATCAGCGTACGGAGGGAGGTTCAAAAAGTATCTACATGGTGCCTAGAAATAACTTACACCTAAATATTAACAAGACAAAGGAGATGGTGTTGGACTTTCGGAGGAAGATAGGGGAACTAGCCCCATTGTATATCGGGGGTTGTGTGAAGAGAGTCTCTTCCTTCAAATTCCTGGGAGTTCACCTTAGTGAAGACCTCACTTGGAAAAACAATATAACTCAGGTGGTTAGGAAGGCCCAACAGAGACTCCATTTCCTCAGGGTACTGCGAAAGAACAATGTTAAACAACAATTGATGACTTCCTTCTACCAGTCCACAATAGAAAGTGTCCTCTCATATTGTATCACAGTGTGCTACATTGGCTTGACAGCCATGGACAGAAAGTCTTTACAGAGGGTGGTGAACACAGCACATGATATCATGGGCTGCCCCCTGAGCCCGCTAGATGACATCGCAAGGGATCGATGCCTTAGGAGAGCGAGAAAAATCCTCAGGGATGATTCACACCCCGGCCAGCACCTCTTTAATCTTCTACCCTCGGGCAGGAGATGTAGAAGTATAATCAGTAGTACCAACAGGCTAAAAAACAATTGCTATCCGTGGACTGTTAGGCTGCTGAACGGAAGATAATACAACTGACTTTTGGGGTTGGTGTGTTGTGCGACAAGCACATAGAGTGCAATGAGAATGAGTGTGTGGGAGGGAGGCTCGGTTAATTTCATTGTACACAGGTTGTACATTGACAATAAAGGTATTGTTGTTGTTGTCGTTATTGTTAGGTACTGAAGTTCTCACCCTGGGCCAGCAGGGGGATACTGTAGATAGTTATGCAAATAAGGGATCGAAAGTGACGTTCAGTGATTGGATAGTTTTAGAAAATTGTTACAGTTACATGGTACGGGAGCTCTATATAAGCAGGCTGACTGAACCCCTCAGTTCAGTACTGTTCTGGCCTCTGAATAAACGAGAGCTGTTTGGAAAATCGCTGTGTCGTCTGATATGTTCACCCACAACTTAACAATTATTATTATTATTATTACTATTATTATTGTTATTGTCATTGTTATTATATTACAGCATGTAATATAGCTTCATATGCTCCTACATTCTGAAATTCATCCAAAGGGATGAGAAAGTAACTTTTCAGTGGATGTCCAGTCAGGAATTTGAACGCAGGCCTCCCAGGAAAATCCAGTCCTAGTTGTAATGGTTCTAGGGGTTGCTCGTGCATAAATCGGCGCCACACCTGGCTGGGTTGCCTGAGTGAACCTTTTCTGTCCGGACAGCCACTCGCTCGTGGCTGTCTCAATCGCTGGCAGAATCCATCAGTGGGCGTTTCTTGAACTTCTTCCAGCAAAGAAGTTCTTTGACGCCTAGTCTCCACCTAGTCTCCCTGCGCAGAAGGCTTCCGCGCAGGGAGGGTGTGGGCAGCGGAGGACCCGTGCTCTCCCCGCTGGTCCCCGGCGAAGAGTCATGGAGCCACCTCGCCGATTCCCCCATCTGCCCCCCTTCTCCACTGGTGCTACGCTGATTTCCTTCCCCAGAAGATGCGCTGCTTCTCTCCCTCCCGGGACACTCTCCGGAATCCCTCTGGAGCCCTCCCTCTCCCCCTGGCTCTGATGGCAGTTCCCTGACACTAGTAAACACCACCACCTCTCCTGGCTGCTATCACCTGCTACAAGTAATGTCCCGTTTAAAAAGACACCCAGTGCCGCAATGCACGTTGCTGCAAAACACAGCCGTTCACTTGTGCTGAGCTGGCAGGACTTGCATACGCATGAGCTGCCTTCTACACACTGGTTTCATTTGGCTTCTCTTTTGACAGCAATAGTCTATTCTATTTCCAGTCACTGACACAGCAGTAATGACAGTTTGCCTGGCCAAGAGCTGCACGATTGAAAGCAATAAATATTATCTGCCTCTTAAACTATGGTAGCTTGCTGCCAGCCTACAATTCCACAGCTCGCCATCTCAAACCAGCAGGCCTAATGAGGCAGATGCAAATAACTGCAGTTTGATGAGCCATGCAAAAAAAATTGTTACAGATATTCTTGAACATCTACAAATAGCAAAAGTGTGCTCCTCTGGCGAAAACAACGACAACACCCAATATTCACCCTGCTTCCAAATTTATGAGCTAGTAACTGAGCAGACCTGAAATATGGTCAAAGAGCACAGAATTAATAAAGCAAGTGGATATAATAAAATAATCAAAATACAGATAAATTCTGGGCTAGATAGCTCTTGATTTGACCCAGCAAGGCACGTGGAATTCAAAGCTCACTTTCTGTTGAATGAAGGGGAAGTACAGTCATCGCCAAGTCCCAAATCCAAGCTCTGATGCTATCTCTGACTCAGAACTGCTCCTTAGAATTACAAGAACTAAAATTTATCTTGCATGCATTCATTAAACAGATAAGAATTATTTTACTGCTATGCATTTATTATTATTATTATTATGTAGCTACATGGACCCATTGGAGGGCAACATCTTTTCAGGAAGCAACAGAATGACAGAAGGTAAAGTTGTGCATCTGCTATAGGTTCTTCCTTTTGGAATGCTTCCCACACATTCACCACATCAAAATACTTGGAAACTCACTTACCAATGCAGGCATGGACTCTGACTGAAAGCTGGGTCCTCAAAATGACACTGTGCTTCTTGCCCCTGCTGTGGGGGTTAAAAATAGGGGGGGAAATGATGAACTAATTAAAGCAAATCTCAGTGAATCATCTAATATACTGTATTAGATATAATATACTATCTAATATACTCAGCAATGGCAGTTATTCCATTTTTTATAAAAGCATGCATGAAACTGCAAGGACTCTTATTACCACATTAAACAAGAATATGTTATATCTATATAAATAGAGGTAGACACACACAATTTTTATTGTTCAACCGATTTGCACCAGAAAAACAGTCCATTTGGCTTATTTATTCTTTGCCAGAAAGCTCGGATAGAAACGTTTACATATTCATCAAATACATGAAAAAACAAACAGGAATGATGAGCTCCCTGGGCTCAGTTTGTACTTGGGTTCATCCAAGTGGGCAAGTTCCCTACAAGCCAGAAAACTGCTTAAAGCCCTTCAAACACTTAAGGGTGTTACGGGTAGCACATTTGGGTCCAATTCCCTCTCAAGTTCCCTTGCCTAGCAAGCAGGTTAATGGGGCTGCTCTGGCAGAGGGAGGCAGCAGCGTCCGTCAGACGTTTTCAAGCATCCTGGGGAAATTACATTGCCCAGGGCTCCAGGGTCACTGCTGTAACAGTATTCAAGGTGCCAGGGAAGAGGCAAAGTCAGACATGCTCGGCCTGCTGTTGTTGCTAAAGTTGCAGTCTGCACCCTCTAAACGGTGGACGAACAAGTGGGGGGGTAAAAGGGTGCAGCTCTCCTCTGGCTCAAGCGAGGACTCCGAAGGCTGAAACAGTGCAAGTCGCCAAAGTTCACATTCCAAGCCAAGCACTCACAAAGCCTGGCACCATCTCTAAATAGGACAGTTAAACAACACACCTTACGGCTTGCCCTTGTTTCCGGTTTTCCTGTTGCGGCTGTCGCTAATCCTGCACTTTGGGGTCTCCATAGGGATGCTTCCAAGCATGGTCAGGTGGTGAATGCACTTCAGAACAACGCCCCCCCCCCGACCTTCTTGGTACGGTAGAGTGGGCAAGCCCAGGGCACGCGGGGACAGTTAGGAGTGGGGAGAACATGCATGACCTAGACTAGCACTCTCTCCATGTGCTATTTCCACACATTTAGGGAAAATGTCTGAATGAGGCTGGAGAGAAGTCCTACTCAGGCTTGATACAACTTTATCACAACAATACAAACACAACACATAGGCTAATAGTGAGTAGAAAATAAATAACAGAATAATGATATCATTCAAATTATGGGAGTAAGCCAATCAAAGTTCTTATACAGTGGTACCTCAGGTTAAGTACTTAATTCGTTCTGGAGGTCCGTTCTTTACCTGAAACTGTTCTTAACCTGAAGAACCACTTTAGCTAATGGGGCCTCCTGCTGCTGCCGCGCCACCAGAGCACGATTTCTGTTCTCATCCTGATGCAGAGTTCTTAACCCGAGGTACTATTTCTGGGTTAGCAGAGTCTGTAACCTGAAGCGTATGTAACCTGAAGTGTATGTAACCCGAGGTACAACTGTATACAATATAACAGAGTGGTAGCGAGGACTGTCAAGCCTTGTGTTCAAAACAGATGTCTACGGACAGTCTCACAATAGTCTTTCAAAAGTATCAACAGAAGACGTCTCGAAAGTTGAAATGTCTTCCGTTGATACTTTTGAAAAACTATTGTGAGACTGTCCTTAGACATCTGTTTTGAACACAAGGCTTGACAGTCCTCACTACCACTCTTTTGTATTGTACATATGAACTTTGATTGGCTTACTCCTATAATTTGAATGATATCATTACAGTGGTACCTCAGGTTACATATGCTTCAGGTTACATACGCTTCAGGTTACAGACTCCGCTAACCCAGAAATAGTGCTTCAGGTTAAGAACTTTGCTTCAGGATGAGAACAGAAATCAGGCTCCGGCGGCGAAGCAGCAGGGGGAGGCCCCATTAGCTAAAGTGGTGCTTCAGGTTAAGAACAGTTTCAGGTTAAGAACGGACCTCCAGAACGAATTACGGACCTCCAGAACGAATTAAGTACTTAACCTGAGGTACCACTGTATTCTATTATATATTTTCTACTCACTATTAGCCTACATGCTATGTTTGTATTGTTGTGATTAGTTCTTATTGCAACACAGGGGTTTGTTTTTGATACAGCTTATGCATACAATCCACTGAGAATTGCATGCTCTTGTGTAATTCATAGTCCTTTCAACTGTCCTATAAATAAGGCAGGCAAAACCCCTCTAGTCTAAGATGATGGTTGTGTTTATTGTAGTCAACCATGCCATAGGCGTCATCATATGACATCACAATGCCAGTTAGCTTTTCTGTCACAGTTTGACTAGTGAGCTAACAGCTACCTCTGTGGCCCATCCTTTGCTGCGAGAGAGCAGAGATACAGAACAGTACATTAAGATGAGTCCCACACAGCCCATCTGCTCAGAAGCCCCACAAAGCATAAGGGCACTTACTCGCAAGTCAGACCAAATAGGGGGACAACCTTAGGGTGGAATTATACCCATAAATTACACTACATCCCAAGGCTGCTCAGCTGGTGTTAAGATGGAGCTGTGCCAGTAGGACTGAACACACCAGGAGAACTCCACTAGCGTAGACACCCTGCTGACAAAGTTATGTTTCCCCATCAAGGAATGACTTTACCAAAGCTCTCCTTTGAAGCTCTTTCAGTGTTTTCACACATATATTGCTGCAATACTCTTAAATAAGTAAATCAAACCCTGATGCCCACAACTGAAAATCCAAGTAAGAACATGGAAATTATTGCTGCTGAAAGAGCTGATGTGCAGATTAGGTAAGTCAGGAGCACTATCTTACCTTACCTTTCCCACCCCGACCTGGCCACAGTGATCCATGCGACGGTCATCTCCAGGCTTGACTACTGTAATTCGCTCTACGTGGGGCTGCCCTTGAAGCTGTCCCAGAAACTCCAGCGGGTGCAGAATGCTGCAGTGAGGCTCCTCACGGGGTCTCTGCCATGGGAGCATATTCACCCAGTGCTTTTCAAGCTGCACTGGCTCCCGGTGGAGTACAGGGTCAGATTTAAGGTGCTGCTTTTGACCTTTAAAGCCCTTCACGGCCTAGGACCATCGTACCTACGGGACCGCCTCACCCAGTATGCCCCACGGAGAGCTTCAAGGTTCATAAATAGCAACACCCTAGTGGTCCCGGGCCCTAAGGAAGTTAGATTGGCTTCAACCAGAGCCAGGGCCTTTTCAACTCTGGCTCCAGTCTGGTGGAACACTCTGCCTCATGAGACCAGGGCCCTGCAGGATCTGATTTCTTTCCGCAGGGCCTGTAAGACAGAGTTGTTCTGCCTGGCCTTTGGCTTGGAGCCAATTTGATTCCCTCCCTCTCTTTCTTTTTTCTTTTCCTTTCTCCTCCTGCAATGAGGCTACATTTTAATGTTTTAATGTTTCAATATTTTAATGTCGTATTTTAATTTTGTTTTTAAGTTGTAATGATTCAACTTGTTTTTATTATTGCTTGTTAGCCGCCCTGAGCCCGGCCTTGGCTGGGGAGGGCAGGGTATAAATAATAATAATAATAATAATAATAACTGATGTGCACCCATTGGATAATCAGGAGCACTGCAGCTACTACTGCAGAGGACAATAATTTTCAGCTGTAGTACCAACTTTTCCCTGCTCCAAGTCCTTGTAGTAGTGGGAGCCAACTAGGAACGGCCACTCCCAGTAACCAATATGTGAAGAGGAGACAGACAATGCAGGCACCCATAGAAGTCATCTCCTTTTGGTATGGGTATCTGCCCTGCTTTGATTGATATCATTGATTGATTGTTGAAATGTGGCAGGACATAGTGGGGATCAGTGATTGGCATGCCAATTTCCAGGTCTAGAGCATACACACACCTGGTCTTCCCATTCAACACTGCCTCTGCCTGTCTCTCATGTTGCAATATCTCAGCTATGAAGTTGGAACAAGCACTCTGCCTAGTAATATGCCATACAGAGAACTCGGGGGGAGGAGACCAAAAAAAAATTAAGTGTACACTCCCTCAGGAGACCATGCTTTCTCAGTAAAATGTTAACCATATACTGTACTTGAAGAACTGAAATAATGGGATCTGATGCTCAGCTGGAAAGAGCATGGTTTCACCTGCCAAAATGCATCACAATATATTACCATCCTCCTTTCATTTTCTCCTTGCGTGGTATACAAAAATATTTTTTAAGACCTACTAGTAGTCAGAAAATAGAATGCTTTCGAAATATCTACAGATATAACACAGTCTTCTGGTGCCACTCAGAGCTGCACTTAACAACGTTTATTGTTTTGGATACAGCTTCTTAACAAAGCAGTATCTGGTAGCAACAGTAAGTTGAGAGAGCTCCCTACTTCCAAGAAAGTAATTATGTGCTACAGTCCTTCTTGAGCTCCGCATGCACCTGGTACGGAGAGCAAAAGGGATCCAAGAAACAAAGACAAAGGAACCAAGACAAAGGCATAAAAATCCCTTCTAAGGTGGCTTCCCCACCTTTTCCTATTGCCATGCCTAGAACAGGCAACAAACCTCCTTCCAGTGGCAAAGGCAGAAAATGGAAATGGAGCCAGGGGGGCTTGTCTCCCCATTAAAGTACCCCTCAAAAGGTTTTTAACTTCCTGCCAGTGGTGGAGAAAACCCACATCATGCAACCCAATTCTCCCCTACAGAAACCTTCATGGAAATCAATGTTTCCACACCTTTCTAATGTACAACTTACCCAGAATCCTCCTGGAAACCTTCCAATTCATCCTTTTGTTCTGCTAAGGTAGACTCTAAATCCAAGTAGGTACCATTGTGAGACAGCTGCAATGTGCAGTCATCAAGCTGAAAAAGAAAAGAAAACACTGTAGTTCACTTTATCAGTTTCAAGGCCTCCAGCCTCCAGACCAGCTTACATACAATCTAGCACAAACCATCAGATTGTTGCTGCCCCGGTCAAAGCACACATTCACTTAATACCAGTACCTCAAATTCCCCCAGAGATGTTGGGCTAACTGCCACCTACTCCTCTAAGAAAACTTTAAACAGTAGGAACAGACGTTATTGTTCCAAGTATATGGATGCTAGGTGTAATTCAGAGGTTATCACAGGGTGGTTTCCTGAGACAACCAATCCTTTTCACAAGAGCAAAAAATCTCAGTGTGTTTCTGTCACCCACACCGTCTCGCTCACTTTTGATCACTTGCATATTTCTTTGTGGAACTTGACATTTTATTCAACGGAGAGAACCACTTCTGCTCTTGTTTACCAGATCACTTTATTGTTGGATGAAAGATATGAGGGTCAATATTCTCCTCATAGGATGATGCTGCTTGTTTCTTTGCAGACACGACACTTAATCACAATTTGTTTTCCTCACCAACAGTTAATTATTAAGTCATGGTTAATTATTCAGCGGGACGTGGGTGGCGCTGTGGTCTAAACCACTGAGCCTCTTGGGCTTGCTGATCAGAAGGTCGGCGGTTTGAATCCCAGCAACGGGGTGAGCCCCCGTTGCTCTGCCCCAGCTCTTGCCAACCTAGCATTTCAAAAGCACGTCAAAATGCAAGTAGATAAATAGGTACCACTCTGGCGGGAAGGTAAACAGCGTTTCCATGCGCTCTGGCTTCCGTCATGGTGTTCCGTTGCACCAGAAGCGGTTTAGTCATGCTGGCCACGTGACCTGAAAAGCTGTCTGTGGACAAACGCTGGCTCCCTCAGCCCGTAAAGTGAGATGAGCGCCGAAACCCCAGAGTCGTCCACAACTGGACTTAACTGTCAGGGGTCCTTTACCTTTACCTTTAAGTATTCAGACGTAAGGATTAGGCTCCAAACCTGGATGGGAAATCACGTGGGATCACAAACCATGGTACATGATAACTATGATTAAGTGTTACGTCTGGACCATGCAAAACCTGATCAAAGCAACCTCTCTGCTTACAGGATGAGAAGCAAGATTCTTTGGCATCTCCCTGTACATGCTTTCCTGAGACAGGGCTTAGTTCAGCAAATTAAACCAACACTTTCAAAGTAAATTTAAGATCTTAATTGGGATTATGTGTGCGCCAGATTTCTATCTCAATTGTTTGTTAAAAAAACAAACAAAAAATAAAGATACTGTTCTTTATACACAGTAGTATAATATTTGGCTCATCTGACATGTGCAATTAAGTAGTCGAGACAGGTCTTCCTCTACAAAAAGGAAACTTGAATGTATGAATGCCTAGGCAAATCAGAGTTCAGAGGTTTATAGCCTGCTATAGATGATTTTGCAAACAAACTGAGCTCCGAAGAGGCCTGGGCACACATGAGTTTAACCATACCCTATTAGAGATTAAACTCCTATTCCCATGTTCGCAGCAAAAGAATGCCAACATAGCATGTAAAAGGAACAAGGGACTCCTGAATGTTAGGTCCAGTCGCAAACGACTCTGGGGTTGCAGCGCTCATCTCGCTTTACTGACTGAAGGAACCGGCGTACAGCTTCCAGGTCATGTGGCCAGCATGACTAAGCTGCTTCTGGTGAACCAGAGCAGCACAAGGAAACGCTGTTTACCTTCCCACCGGAGCGGTACCTATTTATCTACTTGCATTTTGACGTGCTTTCGAACTGCTAGGTTGGCAGGAGCAGGGACCAAGAAACAGGCGCTCGACCCGTCGCGGGGCTTTGAACTGCCGACCTTCTGATCAGCAAGCCCTAGGCTCTGTGGTTTAGACCACAGCGCCACCCACATCCCTAACATAGCCTGTACGACAGCTGATATATTGTGCACACACAATTACAATTTTTCAGATAAGTTAGTCATTGATCCTGATCACACTTTTGGACATTGTAAATCTTCATATAGAAAACTCCAGAGAAGTTATATATGGAATCAGAAAATATAAACCCGTCTCCCCATGGTGTTAGGAATTAAAATCTAGAAGGAATATAAATATTGGATTATGCACATTTTTCTTTAGCATTCACCATAGCTTCTGACCAAACCAGTTTTGTGGCTCTAGCAAGTGTAAAAATTGATCGCCTTCCTAATGAGGCAATCGCCTGGGTGAAGGGCCATTAAGGGGAACAAAGTAAAGGGGCTCTGTGGGAGATGGCTGGTGGGTGGGGGCCCTCCCTCAACTCTTAGATAGTTAGAAAGGCATAGCCAGAGTTTAGAGCAGAGAGTAAAATGTGACCTAGAAGGCAAAAGCATCAATCTGGGAACTGAGAGAGACGCAGCAATGTTTGATTTCTCTTTTAATCCAAGGTTGCAGCAATGAGGGAAGCAAGGTCCTCCTGGGGTGTTAATGTTGTTGGGAATTCCACTCCACCCTTGCTGCAGATATGTGGGATTGTTACATGTCACATGTCTGTTCACATTCCAGCACAGATTGCTGGAGTCCCGTGAGCGGAACATCTGCTCTGCATTGCTTTTGTGTTCTCTCTCTCTGAGAAGAACAACAAGAAGAGAGGCCATGTTTTTCTTTGTCCTGATTTATGTATAATAAATGCGTAGTTTAGTATAGTATCCATGCCTTGAGCCTGATCTGTTGTGTGTTTACTCTGCTGAGTAATGTGTGCTCTTGCATGGACAGTAGCATGAGTCGCAGACGCATGTCAGAGGAGGATGACTGATGGATCTCTGCAGTGGCAAGGCTGAGAAGGGAGACGCTCTGGCTGGGGCCAAGCCAGATGGCTTTCCATCCCATGGTTCCGACCCCTCCATCGTAGGCTCAAGTTGTATATATGTGTAAATAAACCATATATCATAAAAGAACCACAGTCCCTGGTGTGTCTCATTTCCAAAAGGAAACATGAACCCTGGGTGAGCTTCTGGAACCCATGGAATCTCACACCGCTCAGAGATTGCAGTGGTGTGTAACAATGCATACAATGCAAAACTGAGACATGCGAAAACTGCATGTGCAGTAATCCCTTTTTCAGTTCTTGGGGGACAGTGGAGGATCATGATCACCACCCTTTCTCTATTCTCTCCCTTTATTTTTGACCAGCATTTGCAGGTAGTGTTGCTAGATGCAATTTAAACCATATAAAAAGGCCCAGGTTTTGTTGCTTTTGCTGCAATGCGCTAAGAGTTTTGTGGCCCCTTATAGAATAATATATTTATTATGGTATAGACTTCTGCGGTCCAATACATCAGATGCATGAAATGTAATCCTAAATTGACAAGCGTAGCTGAGGGTGGAAGAATGCAGGGGCTTGAGGTCAGAGGGAAATGACATGTCTGCTCCTTTTGGGGTTTTTTCTCTCTGACTCATTCCCCTTCCACAATGTACACCTCACACATCTGATGAAATGGACTGCAGCCTGCGAAAGCCTATGCCATACTACATTTTTCATGGAATTGCAGAGTTGGAAGGGACCACAGGGATCATCTAGCAGTCCAACCTCCAGCAAAGCAGGAATCTTTTGCCCCAAGTTGGGCTCAAACCCCAAACCCTGAGATTAAGAGGTTTGTTAAGGGTTTAAGGTGACACAAGACTCTTTTGCTGGTTTTGAACCATATAATTCAGGCTTGTGATGTTTTTTGAACCAAGACCAAATGCTAGTTATTTTGAAGCTACCCAGCCACTGATAGGGTGTTCTTCCAACCAGAAATGCTGTCAAACCTAGAACAAATGAATGGATACTAAACCAGATCCTTAGAGAATCCACAGCTAATAACCAGGCAAATAGCTGTATAATTCCTCAGTAGCCTTGGGTAACAACTGAAATTGTAAAGACAAAAAGGCACCTCTAATTGGATAACAACTCTTCCATCACTAGGGTGATTAGAACGTCTGCCCACAAATTCAGTTGTGTAATTCGGGGAAAAGAAGCTTGCTTTCTAAAAGGCCTATACCTTTCCAAAGAACTACAAAAATGGGGAGGGCCCTGGGTGTCACAGTGAACAAAACCACAGCTTTCCCAGACTTTAAATGAATTGCTTTACTTTCAAGTTGAATGAAATGTTTTCTGTTTCTTACATCATTAAGTAAGTATTCCAGTTTCAAAGTACTAGATCTGATGGCGTGATGAGCATAGAAGAGAAACTTTCTTTTGGAAGGGGTAAATTAATTCCTCTTCTTAATATGGATCTATTCAAGTAAAAGAACCAGAAGTTCTGAAAGTGTCTCTCTGATCTCTAATGCAACCTTAAATTGAAACTTGAAAAGCTTTTCAGTCTTGTCTACCCCAAATGTAGACCTCACATGCATTATTAGGTATATCCCTAGAATTTAATGTGTGCACATAAAATATATGTTGCACAACAAAGAGTCAGTCTTGAGGCACTTAAGACTAACTAACAAGTTTATCATGGCATAAGCTTTCATCTCTGAACATTGGCCATGCTGGCTTGGGCTGGTCAAGAGTCTGTGAGAATTAAGCTTAATGTATGCAAAATGTGCCCAATGATCATTCACAAGACCAGCTATCAATGATAATGCAAACACCCTAATGCAAACACTTGGCAAACACTGCCAAGTTAATTAACCCCTACCATGGGATAGAAAACCATTATTGCGCCTCAATGCAGAGATGATATAATTGTACTTTGTTGTTGTTGTTGTTTTTAAATCATATTGAGAACCACATTTATTTACATTTATCAAGCAAACACCAGAAAGCAAATGAAACTCTGCATAAAAGACCCAACAACCACAATGGCACAATAGCTGAAATAACGTAATATTCTCTCTTGTTACAGAACTAATTTAGAGGGAAACTGATGGTCCCTCTAACACTTGAATTGCAATTTTCCCGAATTGTAGCATATTGGGCTTGGGTGTCGTTATACTGTCTTATTAGCATGAAAAACAAAACTACTCCGTTCTACCAAAAAAAAAAAAATGAAGGGGAAAAAAGAAGGCATCCCATTTCACCTGTCTCCTGATAACTAAGAATTGATGCCTAAGCCACACCGTTGTGGCAATTTTCCAAAGTTTACCATACTAGAGCTCTATAGCAGGAGTCCTATTGTGCTTCCACTATTGTGTTATCACAAACCTGGCAGTGACTAACAACGAATGTAATCAAGCCCTTAAATACTACATTCCCCGCCTCCAAGTTAAACAGTGAAAGTAGCATTAGTTCCCATGTTTTAACCATTGTTTGCCCAGTTATGGTGCTGATCATTTTGAGTATCTCATTCCAAAATATCACTCCCTACGGGCACTCCCAACCACAGATGAATTACACTTCTTGATAAGTTGTAACCTGGTAGTTTCACACTGGACTCTCCTCTTGGAAGGTTTGGTTTTTTAAAGTTCTTTTCCTCCAAAGCCTCTTCCTCTACCTGTGATACGTCGTCGAAGTGTTACACTCAGGACTCACAGGCATGAGGTTCCTGAGAAATTCTATTAGGAATTCCCCATCCGCTCTTCAAATGCCTGATGGATTGTTGCATAACAGAGAGCAAGGACTTCTTCTCTGTGGGCCCACAAGGCAAGACATGATCTAATGGCCTTAAGGCAGAGGGGCTTAAGCTGAGAGGGTGACTGGGCGTGGGGCACGATGGCAGCGGCCGGGCCAAGGGCAATGGTGGGAGTGAAGTGGTCACTATTTACACTGTGAAGGTGTGGGTGAAACCAGAGAAAACAGGCATGGTGACAGATGGTGTCAAGAACTCCATGATCCCCTTCTGCAAGATTGCTGGGGAGGAAGTTGTGTAGCTCAAGGAAAAGAAGATTGTCTCCCCAGAGGCAAATGCTGTACCAGTGGTCGGCAAACTTTATCAGCAGGGGGCCGGTCCACTGTCCCTCAGACCTTGTGGGGGGCCGGACTATATTTTCAAAAAATATAATGAACAGATTCCTATGCCCCACAAATAACCCAGAGATGCACTTTAAATAAAAGGACACATTCTACTCATGTAAAAACATGCTGATTCCCGGACCATCCATAGGCTGGACTGAGAAGGTGATTGGGCCGCATCTGGCTCCCGGGCCTTAGTTTGCCTACCCATACTGTAGGCTGTGGTCCACAGCAGTGCCAGGAGACAATCTGCATGGCCCTCGTCATGGGGGGGCTGATCGAGACCTGCCTGCGGAGATCCCTGCCAAAGACTACAACAGCCTCAGCCCCTTGCAGGTTTCCAAGTCCCTGGTTGTGCAGGTCAAGGCAGAAGGCATCGACTTTCTGCTTCTGGACGAACAGGCCACTGACAATAACTGTAACCGGGCAGGGCAGCTGACCGTAGCATTTCATGACTGGCCTCAGGGGGCATTTGCTTCAGAAGTGACTCTGGATGGGGACTGGCTGAAGGCTGAGCGTGAAATTGAACGGGGGTCTAGAAATGATGCGTCTGAAGCTGCCAGCAGTGGTGACCGATGACCTGTGTCTGAACAAGACATACTATGCCACCCAGCCTAATATCATGAAAGTCAAAAAGAAGACTGAGATGGTGTGGCAGGTGAAGCTGATGGATTATATGGAACTGGCGGAAATGACTGGCAGAATCCGAGACCAGGGAGAAGAGTCGGTGGAAGAAGATTGGAAGAAATTCAAAGATTATCTACAGAAATATTCTAAAATTAATGAATGTTAGAATGATGTTCGATAAAAACTAAGTGGTTCTTAGCTGAAATGTTACAAGGGAAGATGAAAAAAGGGTTTACTATGTAATATGTAAAAATCTAAAAGTACAATATCTTTATGATTATTGATTAGGATATTTAAAAGAGGGGAGGGAACTGCTGAACAAAATATGTGAACTGGAATACAAAAAAGGGAGGTGCGAGGAGGTCGAGGAAACAAGTAAATGAAGGATAAGACATAGAAAGACTAATCTGTTTGTTTAATTGCTTTTATTTTGTATTTTGTATTTTTCCATTTTTACATCTTTTTTCTTTTTTTATCTGCTTTCCTTTTTCTTTTTTCGCTTATTTTTGTAATATGTTGAAATTTTAATAAATATCCATTAAAAAAAATGAGATGGTGAAGCCGTCCATTCTTGGGGTTGTTATGAGAAAAAAACTGCTCATTTATCCCTTATGGGGTACCCAAGAGCCCATATAGAGTCCTTTTGTAGGTTCTCTATTGGTAGGAGAAAATAACAGAGACCAACCAGAGAATATTGAGAAACAAAGCAGCTAGTAAGCCTGATCTTTATTAAAGCTATTGCAACAGGGTGCCCACACACACACACACACACACACACACACACACAGGAGGGGGGAGGGATCCCCAGCCATGCACGCAAGCCCTTATATAGACATTTTAAATTGCCTACCCTGGAGTCCAAGACCACCCCCAGAAACATCATACATACATCACAGAAGGGGTGTAGCCCAAGACCACCCCCAGATACATCAAAGGAGGGGCAGAAATCTGGGTGTGTTGTTTCTTCCTGTCTGCCAGTTTAAATGTAAAGGTAAAGGGACCCCTGACCATTAGGTCCAGCCGTGGCTGACTCTGGGGTTGCGGCGCTCATCTCGCTTTATAGGCCAAGGGAGCCAGCATACAGCTTCCAGGTCATGTGGCCAGCATGACTAAGCCACTTCTGGAGAACCAGAGAAGCGCACAGAAATGCCGTTAACCTTCCCGCTGGAAGGTTTGATGTGCTTTTGAACTGCTAGGTTGGCAGGAGCAGGGACCGAGCAACGGGAGCTCACCCTGTCGCGGGGATTCAAACCACCAACCTTCTGATCGGCAAGCCCTAGGCTCTGTGGTTTAACCCACAGCGCCACCCACGTCCTGTGTCTGCCAGGTTACCTGATTGGATTACCTGGCCACTCTTTTGTTATGATAA